CCGGTGAGATTTGAACAGCCGAACTGCAGAACTGCAGTCAGCTGAAGTAGCCTGCAGTGCTGCATTTAACCACTGCACCACCTCGGCTCTTGCCAGGCGAGGGAGTCCGGCTGGCTTCCCTTGAACCGAGAACGGGTGAGCCTAGCTCTTATGACTCGCCAGCCATAGCTGGTGCCGTGGCTCAGGTCTTGGCATGACCACTGACGACACCTTCCGCCGCCACCTGAGATTAAACGTCCCTGAGATGTGTTTGATTATGAGTAGCTCGAGCTGTTGCTCTGAGCTCGGCAGTTTGTTTGCGAACATTTTGTCACCATTCGAGGAGACGTCGTCCGTGCTCTTTGAAGTGTGCTCGTCCGTCAGAACACGGGTCTTCGAATACCTTTTTAATGTGACCTTTTTTAAATTTATCTGCGTGATGTAAATTAGCGTAGTTAGTTCAGGTGCTTCTGAGTGGTGGTCCGGTTTCAGAACCAGCCATTCCAACAGTCCGAAGCCAGAAGCATCTGAACCAACTACACTAATTTACATCACACGGACGATACTCAGAACCAAAGACCGAGTAACAACAGCCAATCAACAATCAGACCACGACTCAGAAGTAACGAACTACATCCACACTAATTTACATCACATCAAAAGGTACCCTTTTTTTCGGAGCATAAGACGCACCAAGATTTTGAAGAGGCAAATTGGGAATTTAAGTTTTTGCACTCTGCAGACCTCCCAAAAATGGCCCATTTTTTTCGAAAACGGGCCCACTTTTTGTCAAAAAAAATGGCCATGCATAGTCTTTAGGAGGCTTCCAGAGTGCTTCTGGGGGCTGGGGGGCAAAAACGAGCAAAAAACAGCCCATTTTTTCCTCATTTTTGCCCTCCTCAGCTCCCAGGAGCACTCTGGAAGCCTCCTAAAGGCTATGCATGGACATTTTTGCAAAGGGGGTGAGGTTTCGGGATGCCAAAAATGCTGTATTCAGTGTATAAGACGCACCCAGATTTTCACCTTCTTTTTTTGAGGGAAAAACATGCGTCTTATACTCCAAAAAATATGGTATTTAAAAGCCAGTGTCCCGGCAGACGAGCACAATTCAAAGCAAGCTGACGACTCCTCCTCGAATGGTGACGAAACGTTTGCAACCAAATTGCCAAGCTCAGAGCTCAGACCAACAGCCCCCCCTCCCCCTTTAAATGTGCCATCTGAACCAGCCCTGCCCCAGAGGAAGGCTGAAAGAGCAACTAATTCTGGCCTCTCACGTGGCATTGCTGTGCTTGTCTTCCTCCGAGAGCTCGCCTGTCTTCACAAGGTCGTAATTTATGCAACCGGGTTGAATAGCATCGATTAAATCCACCACGGCCAGGCTGCTGCTGATACTTTTGTCCTGGAGAGAAAAATGAGGGTCTCCTCAATGAAAAGGGTGGACGCATCCGATGAATGCCACTCAGTGGTGTGATTCAAATAATTTAACAACCGGTTCTCTGCCCTAATGACCATCTGGGTAGACGGGGCTCCAGTGGTGGGTTTCAAAAATTGTTGGAACCTACTCTGTGGGTGTGGCCTCCTTTGTGGGAGTGGCTTGCCACCCATGTGACTGGATATGAAAT